GTGCTAAGCCGTAGCATTATATGTATATTGATTTTGGCACACACATATTTATTATTAATGTTGACGTATGTTGAAAGTTTTACAGCATTAAATGAGAAACAGTGGTGGCGCCAGGACCTGCCCGACGGAGGGGCTTAAGGCCCCGACGGGGTGGGGGGAGGCTAGTGGAGCGAATCGAGTCTCACTGGGGACCAGGGGGCCGCCTAGGGCCCCTGGTTGGGGTCCAGGGGGCGACGCCCCCTGGAAGCCATTGATATTTGATGAATTATGGCGAATTTTTATTACTTATTTAATAGACATTGAGTTATTATAATATGACTTCATGTTGGCTATGCTTCCTAATGTTGAAATCAGCTTCCAAAAACAAAACATTTTGAATAAAGCAAGAAACAAAGAATATGCAATGTAACCATCTAATTTATTTTCAAATCCTCATTCTTGAAAGTGAAATTATATATTTTGGAAATTTTGCATGAAATCTGTCAACCACGCTGTCATGGTCGAGGTTGCTTCACCTATCACGATGTATTTCAACCATCATGGGGATATCATGAGCATTTGTCATAACAGAACGCAAATTATTTTTAATTAGTCTCATTGCATTATTATTATTATTATTATTATTATTATTGTTATTGTTATTGTTATTGTTATTATTATTATTAATATTATTGTTATTGTTGTTTCTGTGATGAAAAGTTAACACAAACACTTTGGTGGCTAAACGAATATTACCTGTAAATATTTTTTTAAATTTGTTTTTTCCCGACAAAATTTATCGTCTTCCCCGACGGGGGGGGGGGCTATAGCCCCAGCCCCTCTGGCGCCACCACTGATGAGAAATACACGTAATATATGGAATTTGAGTAACACATAAAACGGCTCAATAAGTATGTTCATAATTTATTCATTTGCAGGCGTTACCTAGCAAATTTGAGGAACCTGGTTTCCGTTAGCGAGGCTGGAGCAGCCATCATGAATACAATTGGCTTCACGGACATATCCCCTGCCACGTTTAATATGCATGATTTATTGCAATGGATACGAAACAATAATTCAGGTATTATATCATTGAAATTATTATCATAATATTACTGTTATTATCATAATATTACTGTTATTATCATAATATTACCATTGTGTTTTGTCACCTTCATCACGGCTATCTTTAACACCACCATCACAAACATCATCATCATTATAACATCATCATTATCATCAATATCTCCACTATCGTCATCCTCATCAACATCACTATCATCGTCATCTTCCTCCTCACAAACGTCATCATCACCGTCACCACAACCACTACCATATTTTCATCATCGTCCTCATTACTATCGTCTTCAACATCATCATCTTCAGGATTATCATCATGATCATCAACATTCTCATCGACGTCACAATTATAATCTTTATCAACACCATCATCACAATTATCATCATCACCGCCATCACAATTACCATCATCACAGAACACAGTTGTATCATTGTTAAAAATGATCTTCTGCTTCATGACTATAATCAAGATCATCAATCATTACAGAAATCACTAACACCACAACAATCACTACCATCACAAAAATAATCAAAATGGTTTTGACTTTTCTTATCATTTTTCTGATCATTATCATTGGCAATAATCACCATCATCATCATCATCACTATTATTCATCAGCTTATCTTTCCCATTACATATATCTGTACATCATCTTCCTGGTCATCGTCATCTTCATTCACCATTTTTGTTCCCAACAAAATAAAGACAGTGATATATATTGCAATTAAATCTTTTAATATTATTTTTTGTGTTTTCAGAAACCATTATCTATTTAGATAACGCAGACGACATTCTTAGACCAGGAAAGCCATCACGTGACGATTTCACGAATTTTCTTCGAGAATTAATCCAGGAGTGCAACCAGCGAACCAGGTTTCTAATTACAACCAGGTACAAGATTGATAAAGTCTTATGTGATTGTATAAACTTTCATGCACTAGACCTAAAACCACTCAAGGTATTAGATGCTATTTCACTTCTGCGTCGCTCTTCTGAGCTTTCCAGCATAGACGATGAGGTATGTAAGAGCTTGGTGTTCGTGTGTGGTCATAATCCACACGCAATTCGAGCAGTTGCGAGTCGTCTGAAACAAGGACATATTAAACCAAAAGCATTACTGGAGATTCTACGCCAACCAGTTAAAGCTACTAGAGTTTTTCACCATCGGTACGATAATGACATGTCAGTGGATGGCCACGAGATGGAACAGCAAGAAGGTGTGCTGAAATGCCTTCGTGTTCTATTCAATCAACTCGATAAAAATTACAAGAAGTACTTGATTAAGTTGTCTGTGTTTCCGAGTTTCTTTTACGAAGATGTTGCAGCCGTCATTCTTGACGAAGACAAAAGTATGATTAGTTTTTATCTGCAGAAACTTTGTGTCTACGGGGTCTTGGAATTCGAAGAGCTTGGCCAGTTCATAAACATTGCCTCGAATACGTACAATATGCACACATTGTTGAAACTGACCTGTGTCAATGCAACAGAAGAAGATGACTCTCTCAGACAATTTAGAGACACTGCGATGGCAGCGTTTCTTAAGCACTATCATCAGGTGATTAATGAAATTTGTGAATTAGCAAACTTGAATTTCAAGGAAGGTCTTGAGAGGTACCAGAATGATAAAATCAATTTGATACAATATCTTGAGCATGAAGCACATATTCAGTCACGACAAACCGCTAAGGATTTGGATTTTTCTAAAGAAGATAGAAGATACGTTATCTTCGACGGATTGGTTGAGGCGGATCGAAGAGTTGAATACTTCGAAATTGTATCACGTAAGGCTAAGCAGGAAGAAGACTGGATTAGTTACAGTTTTCTATGTGGATGGCTAGGTGACCAGTACATATGCCAATCGTTGGTGCTGGAGGCGCACAAAGCTGTAGACAACGGGTTGAAAACGTTGGAAAAACTAAACTCAAGCGAGAAAAATCATCGGAATGCAATGATAGCTAAGGCAGCCTGTCTGTACGTAAAAGGGCGAGCATTCACTGGCCAGCAAAAGTACAATGATAGTCTAATTCCTCTTAAAAAATCGTTGGCGTTACGACAAGAGTACGAGGGAGATCACACAATGACAGCACGTGTTCTTAACGCAATTGGTCACGTTTTCTATCGTCAAAAGAAAATCTCGGATTCCCAATACTATCACCAAGAGGCATGGGAAATGATACGAAGAATAACACACGACAAACCGGAAGTGCATTTGGATTCCTCTGTGTATGTTATGAACCTGGGCACCTGCTTCAGAAGCTCGGGTAAAGCGCACATGGATGCAAAGGAACCTGAGAAAGGAACCGAACTTTACAACAAGGCTTTAGAGTGGTTTAATATCGCCTTGGAAATGCAGCAGACTAGTTTTCCGGGGTTAGAGATCGAGCTGGCTGCAAAGATCTTAAAAAACAGGGCGCTTTGTCACTTTGAATTAGAGGATTACATGAAAGCTCTGCCAGATGCAGAGAAAAGCTTAAACATTACAAAACGAATTCTCAAAGACAACCCTGACACGGCAAGATGCTTGTATTTTGTTGGCACAACTCATCATAACATTGGCAAGAAGATACTGAAGTCTACCGAGGTTTCAGAAGACGAGAGAGGTAGGATAGCTTCCCATTTTGACCATGGAGCTATAAAATTAGTTATAATTTTATAGCTCCATGTTTTGACATAGTATGGTGTACGGCCTATTGGTTTATGTATTGTCTTATTTCGTTTGTTTTAACACTGATTAAGTAGATAATGTTATCTATTTGAGTGCCAATTCTATTTAAAAAAATAACATTTATGATAATGACTATAATAATGAGGATGGTAGTAATACTAATAATAACAATAATATTTTTTAAACTTTAGCTGATGCAGATAACCACTTTGGTCTTGCTTTGAAATCTCTTGAGGATGCTTACAATATGGAGCACAAACTAGGACCCCACAGACGAAGTATTGACTACGAAGACATAAAGAAGGAGATAGTGGATGTGTTGAAATCCATGGGTAGAGACGCGGATGAGACCGTACAATCATGGGAACGAAAATTTGCAGTAAGGTTTTATTTCTTGTAAAATTATAATAAATGCAGTGGATATTGTTACACCAATCTCAAAGGAATTCCTAATTCTAACTGGATGTTATTGTCCTAATCGAATCCATTAATCAAATTTTCATTTTTAATTTCGAAATAACATTTATTGCTGTCCTCGTATACAAAAAAAATTTATTCATATAAAATATAAAAGATTTGTATATAACAAAATGAAAAACAAGAATATAATATTGAAAAAAGGGTTAAGGAGAAGGGGGAAGGTGCCCGAGAAGAAAAAATACTTGTGCTGGACCAGCCCAAAATGTAAATTGACAAACAGGATAAGACAAAAAGACAAAACAACAAACAAAATAGCCGACATTATTCAAAACATCCAATTGGAAATAAGATTTTTTTTAAGGCTGATATAAATAGCCACTGCCTATAATACAATGTGTAAATCGTATATTATGAAGTGCACATTAACTTTACGAAAGATTCTAACCTCGAATATTTCATTTGGGTTTCATTACAAGCCGGCCTACGTCTAGACCAGGTAGGGCCCCAAGCTAAGCCAGGTCTAGCTTCCATGAAAGTTAAAACAATTATTGCAAGTAATAATTACAATAGTATGTTTGGTTTAAAGGAATTACAGCATTTGACCTTGCAAGCTTCTGTAATTTTACTACAGATAGCAATATAGTAATTATACCGCGCCCTATGATAGAAGGCGGAATACCGCCTAATTTTACAATCGTAGATGTGCCAACTATATGGCTGTATTATATTTGCCATGGTATTGAAATTTTTAAACATCTTTTTATTCAATTAAAGGAGACTGATAATCAGGACACGAGAGAAGTATACCACAAGTGTTATGAGAATATCGGGCCACCGAGATCACCGCCTGGCGCGCTCGCAGACGATGCTGTCGCGGAATCCAGTCTTTCTTTCAGAAACCTAACATTCGGATGGTGTGACATCGTTTGAAAACGTTACATATGATTTCAACGTTTCAAAGTTGCTGGTGTTACGATGCTAGAATTGAGTAACTTTACTTGTACTTCGTTGAATTTTAGTAGTCTGTACTTTTTTAAAAATCATATTTATATTGTGATATTTGCAAATATTGATTCATATGTTCTAAGGTACCAAGTACCTTTAATAACAATGATAATGCATAGGTTAATTTTTGACGCTTCAAACGTTGCTAGTGTTACGATGCTAGAATAATTTTAGTCGCCTGTGACACCATTGTGGTGTTTGTAAAATATCTTAAATTCTAAATATAATTTCGAGGTAGGAGTATATATTTGCAAATAAATGAGTAACTGTACTTACTGTATGTGTTACTAAGCTAGCAAATACCTTTAATAACATTAATAATCCATAGGTTAATTTTTGACGTTTCAGCCGTTGCTGGTGTTTACTTTTCGTCGTATGATTTTTGTTGTCTGTGATTATTTTAAAATCATATTCATATTGTAGTGTTTGTAAAATATCGTAAATTCGAAATTAAATTTGGAGGTAGAAGTATAAATGTAATCATTTGTAACCGTAATAGTGTATCAAATACCTTTAATATTGTCATAATACATAGGTTAATCATGTAAATTATTGCATTAGAAGTAATTAATTGTTTCCAGGTGAACGTTCTTTAATTTTGTTCTTATAAGGTGGTGGTTAAATGCTGTTAGCAATTGAAACTATATTAATGTAACGACAAACATGTTTTTTTTTGCGGTCGTTATCTTTAAGCCATTCTTAAATGTATGTCACTATATGCATCATACAAGCGCTATGTAACTGCGATGAAAAGACGCTATATAAATGACTATTATTATTATTAATATTATTATTATTATTATTATTTATTATTATTATTATTATAGCGAGTGAGAGTTTGAGTGCGACCTTACTAAGTTTTTACGAATATAATAAATAAATTAAATTTTTACTTTATAGCACTGGATTTATCTAAATTTTTCATAAAATGGCGTCATATATTATTGTTGGGGCCGCATATATTTTTTCTGTTCAGTTTTATATTTTTGTTTTATATTCTTAAACAATTTGAAATTTCAAAACTAGAAATGTTAACGAAGTTTACAATAAGCTTTAACCTATGATCCTTCCGACCATTCTAAATAAAATTACATTCTTTTTTGTTGGTGTTGTATATTACAGTATCTAATGCTTAAGCCATGTAATGGCCTTATAATTTAGAGGCCGCATTTATTATTACTTTGTTTATTAACCGGAAGGTCTTTCCATTTTATTTGGCTATTGAGTATTATGTAGTATACATTATATACCAAAATGAACAATATAATAATAATATTAATAATAATAGTAATTAATGCATTAGATTAAATTTTGATGAAGATTAAAAAAAACACTACCTATAGAGCACCTTTAAATACTATGTAATTTATATAGCATTGGTAAACGTGTAGACCCTACACATTTAATTAGTAAGTAGAGAATTTTAAAATGCACACGACCTTGACTTTTTTAGACATTATGTAAAGCTATAGAATCAGGGTTTATTGAATTTATGGGATCAGTATTACCAAAGTATGAAATTCCAAACTCTTTGGTGTTATCGTTAGGTTTATGTTTTTAATTTCAGCTTTGTTTGTCGTAACCAGCGCGCACGAAATGCTTAATTTCAAAATCGGGATATTATGTACCTGACTAGGCTAAATCAGTCCTCAAATTATATAAAAAGTTCTCGTAATCTCAAAATCTCCGATTAGGGTAGTATAATAGAGGCAGAAGAGTATATTGGCACTAACGGCCGACCATACAAAAACGATCTATTAATCAATTAGATGAGTGTATCTAGAGCTCCCTATCGGTGCTAAAAACTTCTCCTTTAAGACAAGCATTCAGTGGTGGCACCAGGATTTGTGCGACTGGGGATGCAAAAATCAATATAGAGTATTAAAAGGCTTATTCAACCAATTTCTGGGTCTTTTAATTCTCTAATCTCTAATGTTTTTCTCCCCAACGAATAGTGTTTTTTTTTTAATTACTCGACGGGACCCAAGTCCCATCGAGTACCATTGAAATGATATTGCTCATTGAATGTATACAATGTATTTTGCCTGTACGTTGGTTATTAGTAAAGTTTGCCTATCAAATAAATAGAGGTGGTTTCAAAATGTGTTGATTGAATTATTTACTCATGTTTAGCTTCTAACTCAAATAGACTATCGTCCGCATTTAAGTCTGCGAATGATAAATGCCCACACAACGCACGCTCTGCTAATAACAGCTTTTTTATGTGTTTGCTTGATGCATGGTGTAGTTAAATTCTGCTCCCTGTCTGTAGGTTTCTTTTGAGACCCTCGCCTTAAAAAAAAGCCTTTAGTATATTAGTTTCCTGCTCTCAGCGTTACCTAAAATATTATTAAGGTCTACCATACGATTTACCACAAGGCCTAAAGAAAAAGTGTAGACCTAACATGACCTTTTCACTTAGCTAGTACAATGTTGTACTGTATAAGAAGTTGTATTAAATAATAATAAATTATCATCTTTTAAAATGTATAATGAATTTGTTTATTCAGGTATTAATAAACTTCTAGGGCTAAACATATTATATCTATGCATTGATAACACATTGAGACATGGTACATTACATATATTTGATTTATAATAAATGTATTGTTAAATTTCAAATAATGGTAAACATTTACTACAAATAAATTGTTTTAGATAATTATACTTATTTTGGTTATAATGACCATCAGCCGATAAATCAATATCAAGTACAGGGGCGGATTCAATAGAGACCCCAGCCGGCCGCTCTGTACCCCTCTATTTTTTTCAAAATAAAAAAAAACATTGTGGATAAAAAAAAATATTCAAATTTAAGTCAGAGACCGCCATTTCCGGCCATCTAGAAGTGCCATAATTATAAATTCTTATCTTAACACCAACCACTGTGGAGCTGAGGTGGTATTGATCCCCGCTCCCTATCCTTCTCTGGGCCCTTCTATTTCAAATTTCTGGGTCCGCCACTGAAGCAAAATATAAAAAGTTGTAAATGTTCGGAGAAAATAATAGTAGGCATATCATAAGCCTTAACAGCTCCCTGCATAAACTAAATGAACGTAACAATACAAAAACAACAGGCAATACTGGTAGTCAAAAGGTTTCAACAGCAACATAATTAATACAATTAAATGTGATGATTATGACCTGCTGCTGCCAATACAATTACCTTACAACCCCCCAAAAGCAAATAACGTGTAGTATCAATGAACGCTGGCCGCCTCACGATGTACATTACCAAGGACAAAGGACAAAGGACAAAGCAAAGAGGAAACAATACACTAAAGTGATTCACATACAATGTAGAAGTGCGTCCTCAGCGGTTATTATACAACATCATGTCGGGTGCCGCTATAGAGGGGGTACTACTAAAACTAGAAGTTAGGCAAGTTACCATCTATAACTGGTCAATTTAATTAAAAATCCATATAATATATGCAACAGGGAGTTAAACAAATTTCAACAAACAAGTTGAAGTATTAAAACTTATTTTTTTAAATAACACCTTGTTTTACAATTTTTTGTTTAGGATATGATAAAAAAAATGTGTACATAAATCAGTTTATGTACACATTCGCATTTTGTACATATCACTAAAATTGTGTTAAAATAGATTTTATATAAAAAATAAGGTTGATCTTTCATAATGCAAGGCAGAAAATATCATTTTGTTACATGCTTATAAAAACGACACGATAAAATACAACGCTTGAATAGGTTTTCTTGCCGAATTTTCAAATCGACGATTAAAGGAAGTCATTAATTTTACCATTCATCAACAAAGCTGATTGAAGGATATCAGACAGTTAACAAGTAATGATATTTAAAACTGCTGTCTTGAGATAAAAGGAACATCCGGTAGCATACGATCGTTTAATATTTAACTTATTCTATTTTTTAGCTGGCGGTTTCATTTCCTCCGCTGCAATATAAAGAAAGAAAACGAATTTTATTTAAAAGTATACCAAATTTAAATTACTTTATCTAACAAAATGACTATAAAGTAGCATGGTTTCATGCAAGAGAACTTATTTAACGTTTAGAAAAACTTAGAAACAGTAGAACCCCTCCTTTGGGACACCCCTACATTTTCTGCCAAGAAACGAGTGAAAGTACATTTTTCAACACTAATGCCAACCCCTATACAGGGGACACCCCTAGTAAGGGACACCCCTATTAATAAGACACTTTTTTTGGTCCTGAAGGAGTCCCCCTAATGGGGGGGGGGGGTTAATTGTATATATAGATACACACATAATAGGTAAATACATATACATATATAATTTAAACTTAAACTTTAAACTTGATTTATATAGATTTAAGCTGTTAAAGAAACTAAAATAGTAAAGCAATTTTGAAGGCTAAGAACATATCGTTTGGTACATGATTAATGACATTAATAATGTTAATGATCAATGTTATACAGCCATAATGTATTTTACGATATGCGTAGACAACACAAAACTAGATATGTTCAGATTATAATCTCATAGCGAACAAAACGTTTATAAAAATCAACCACCATTACAAAATATCACACACATATCTGCAGCTGGAATTGTATCTTCTGCAGTTTCAGAAAGTGAAGTTGGTGTTGCATCAAACATAATGTTTGCAAATTATATATATATATATTTATTTATTTATTTATATATAGTTGTGATTCATCGAATTGAAGGGTGCACGTCTATCCTGATGAACATATATTAGAATGGTGGAGACAAGCAATAATAACATAGGCGGTTAACGTTTTTCCAGGATATATAAAAAATTATTAAATAACGAATATTTCTGGAGCGCCTGCTCTCTTCTTCAGCGTAATGCCTACTGAATTAAAAAACACCGGATTGAACAATTCATTAGTTCAAGTCTATGATCAAATAGAAATCTAATGATATATATATATATATATAATATATATATATAATTATATTATATATATATATATTTATATACAGTATATACATATATCTTTAACATATATATATATGTATATAGATGTATATATATACATATTTTATTTGATTTTGTAAATTCAAATTTAGCTAACAACATAGAAAACAAGGTAGATGTTTTTATAATATAGGTTTATAGAGGGTTACACATTAGTGGGTCATACAGAAATCTATTAATATAAATGAATTTATTAAAACATATTTATTATTCAAAATTTATGCCATTTTAAAGTAAAACTTGGTAAAGACAGTTATTAACAACATAGGCTTAATTGGTAAATAAAACTATAACGACTAACGATATATCTTGCATTACAATAACATGCTTATTCAACAAAATGCCACAATAACAGTCATATTTTAAATGGTTTGACTTATTAGTAATTAAAAACTATATGGTTACTTACTCGTTTTACGTCTTGGTGAATCATCATTACAGGCTGGTGACGTTAAGTTTGTTGCTGCAATATAACTCGGGTCATTTTCTAATTTTTTCTTAGCGGCTTCGCTTTTAGAAATGGCGTCACTTTTAGAGGCTGAATCCTTGTCCATGTTTCTGAAACTAACCAACACATAATCAACATTTAAATATGCAACTCTATTATAGTATAAGCGTATACACCGCCTACAACGTTATGTGGTAGCGATTAGTCAAGACGATACAAACTCTCAGATTTGGAGGATAATTATCATCGAATGCAGGACTGTTTCAGAATCAAACAACGAATTTGTCGTTCCGATCAATTGTTAATGTATTCTCAACTTACTCTATGCTTGTCGCCATCTTGAACAACCGCGAATTTATTAGCTGACGAAATCTGAAAAACGACCGACGAACGGAATCTGTAGACGATCCCTGTCACAGCCTGTAACTATCCATTATTCTGTCAACTTCCGTATTTGGTTGTACCAATGGAAATTCAGTGCTAAAGGGTAAACGAACGGTCATAAGCCCCTTGAATATGAAAAACAATATCTTGTGCAGGGTCTGTTTCTAAGAGACGAGATCAAAAGGCCAACATTTTGTAACATCACGCGATGATGTTAGGGAAATTCTATCTAATGTTGTATCACCCACTGCTATGAAAAATGAAATCAAGCAAATAGGTTCACCATACTTTGTCAACTTCAGCAATAACGGTGGGTGTGTGTTTTAAAGAAGTGATTTATATGCTGTTTTAACGAGTTTGTTTAATGTATATGTTGTATACAGATTATACTACATGGGAAGAATAAAAGTAATTATTCATAACTTTTTTTTTCTAAAGAAAAGCAAGTGGAAAATCCCAGAAGGCTATATAACGACATCTGTATAATATATAGAAAATTAAGTTATATTTTGTCTGCAAAAGCATTGTGCATTTCCAGTGTATATTTATACAACAACTCAATGGCAAAAAGAGTAAATAGGTCTTTGCAATAGTAATAACTGACGAAAACGTTGTTTTTATCGCCATTTGAAAACATTCACAAAATATCTTAAAATTAATCTGCACTCTGAATAATGTATTTCCTGGAATATATATGTATTTTGCAACAAAGATATTATATTATGTATATGACTATTTGTGATAAGTTCAGAGAAAAATAAAATAAAATGTTTTACAATAGACTTATATACATCTAATTTATACAATAAAGGTAACAATAAATATAATATATCAACAAATATATTTTGTCTATATTCTAAGGATCTGTCAGTGTACCAAATATACATACATACATTATATATACATATATGCATTTATACTGTACATACAGATATGTAAGGGAATAATCACTTCAATATAGCAAATTGAATACTGTATATATATATATATATATATATATAAATGTATACATATGTATATATAATACTACTACTAATAAAATAAAGATACAGCGACTATTGAAAATAAACGTTTATAGATAAAAAAGTAATAGATGGAAAGTTATGAGACCACACCGTGTAGTGTTGTTGTTGGTGCCGACATATTTGATGATAATAACATGCAGAATTGTTTAAGGAGCCAACAGCAGGCTAAAATTCTAGAGCAACGTAGACGTAATACTAATCCTCAAAAAAATAATAAGTTTAGTAATAAATTATATGTGTGAACTAACAAAACACTATATGAGTATCATGCAGTGACTGTTGGACATTCTGTGCTTCAAAATGGTGGCAATTACGCTGTTCTATACACATATTCCTTTCAATACCAATTATCGTTTCCTGAAGGCTAATGGTAATACAACAAGCGATTCAACAAAGGTATCGTTTTGTTAACTACGGTTAGAAAAATGGTAACAATAAATTGGTGCTATAGTTTTCTTCGGCTACGAACCCCTTTAATATTAGAAAAGCATATCTCTAGTTGAAACATTGCTTGACGGGATCAAAGATCAGCATCTTGTAGCATGACGCCATGTTGAGAGAGAAATTATAATGTAATATCATACAGTATACTTATGCTGATTATAACACAATTCAATTAGCTGTACTATATTTTGGTAACCTTAGCATGGGCGGAGGGGGTAGTGGTAACAATAAAAAAAAATATGACCCAATGATTATGCAAATGGGATATTTTATTGTAATGCAAATGATTACAAAATTCTAGACGATAGTAAAACAACACCTATACACTGTAATGTCTAGTTAAGCGTCGGAAAATTACAGTAGCATATTTATACAACAAATCTATAAAGTGAATAGGTCCATATAATATTAGGCCTAACCAGTTTTTGTAACTTCGGTATAGTCAATGCAAATACAATATATAGTTAGGCCTACAAATGGTATCCTGACGAACACTTGTCATGTGTTGACATTCTTTTCAGGACATATGATAAATGAAATTAATAGCCAACAGATGCACTGAATATGTTTAAATAACAGAACGAAGTAGATGGATTAAACCAGATCGAAATAATAGAAAATGCAAATTTTTCTCCTTAAATTTAGTTGAAGATAGATATCATTTTACATTGATCTGCCCATTTTATTCAGATATTAGAAATACTTTAGCTCAAGTCCGTCTATATTCAAATTCAGTCGCTTAATATCCACCAGTGCTCCTAATATTATTAATGATTTATCTAAATTTTTATATTTATCATTTAAACGCAGAAACGATCATATCGCTCTTTAAATTTAATTTGTATAAACCAATATTTATATGGGCCAGAGGCCATTGTGTAAAAAGAACGAATAAATGTCCTTGGTCCCTGTGCCAAGAAACGAATGAACGAACGAGTCAATGACCGGAGTAGTAATGTGCAGCGCTTAGAGGCTTTGTGCATGAAGCGCTATATAAGAACGACATATTATTATCATTATTATTAATAGTTATCCATTATAATATGACAATAAATATGTGTGAAATTACATTAGTGAAACGAATAATGTAAACAAAATGGTGATGACTGGTATGCCTAACTTAGATCCAAAGAAGACAAAACAATGAAAAAGACCATGTCATTATGTGGATGTGTTTTGAATTACAAAAAAAAAGTACATCTGCTGTAAAATTTTCAATATAATTGCATTAAAAATACAAAGTGCTTTCTTATAACTTTAATAAAAAAAAAATGTATACTGTGAAACATGAATACTTAAACAAAATATTAATCAAATCCTCGGCATTGAAATTCAGTTCGAGAATGTTATATATATCACCGTCAATAATTAATTTAAGCAATTGTGTTCTAACTTGGAAATCAATAATCCATGATCTTTCAAGGGGGGGGGGGGGGGCTTAGCTTTTCCGTCAGATTAACTATTTACTTTCTAATACATTTTAAAAATCTTAACAAACAAATGGGGGAAAACGACAACTGATGTGTGTGGGATGTGCAAAAACATTGATGCATGTTTTGAATTCTTACCAATCCTCATTGTTACAAGGGTGATACACCTGGAGGCAAGAATCCATAATATCATTCATGATTAACAAAATTAACAAACATAGAATCTATGAATATATCTACGCAGACTTTCCCGGACTCACTGATTATGATTTTAAATGTTTCTGTAATAGTTGTTCTTTGTATTTTTAGTGCTCTGTATATGCTTGGTCCCCCAAGCTGTGACCTGGGATGTATGTTACATTCTAGTATATTTATTTAAAAAAAATGAAACTTTATTTTTCTTTTTTGTCTCCTTGTCAAAAATGTAATTTTACATAATGAAGTAAAAAGCTTGCACAATACATCATAAATGTTTGAAACCTTGCTTAGAGTAGAATTTCCAAACGTCTATTTTTGGATTGTAAAACGAATTAAGCTTTATTTATAAAAGTCTGGAAACTTTGCTGTTTTAATTAGAGCTAAATTTCCACACATTTATATCTGGCATAGAAATAAAATAATAAAACAGAAATTTCCACGCACCTATTACCTAATCACTGTTAATCAATAAGTGTAATTTAGTCTAGAATGTTACTGATGGGATTTTATAGATGCTATTTATATTATTTATGACTGAATCAATCCAGAATCTATCTATAACAGCTCGATCAAACTGCAAATGGCAACAGCACTCGTGATGTGGAATTTCCAGAGATCCAAAATGGAATTTCCAACTGCAATCACGTGCGCTACTGGTTTCTTTCATCATAAATATTATATCTAAGTCTCATAGAAAACCCACATTATTTTGCAATATAAAATGTTATTTAATAATAATAATAATAACAATAACAATAACAACAACAACAATGCTAATAAATAATAATAATAATAATAATACTAATAATAATAATAATAATACTAATATTACTAATAATAATAATAATAATAATAATAATAATAATAATAATAATAATAATAATAATAATAAAAATAATAATAATAATAATAATAATCATCATAATCATCATCATCATCATCATCATCATCATCAAGCTCTCTGGGGAGTATTCCATAACGTTGCAGCTGCTAATCAGCGCATTTTAGCATTTAACCCACCACGTACCCACTTATACACCTGGGTGGAGAGAAGCAATCAGATATAGTGCCTTGGGCCCAAAGAGAAATGCACAGCCAGGGATTGAAACCTCGACCTCAATGTTGGGAACTCAAGCCGTTTCCGCTGCGTCAAACCAATTAAAATAGCAACAACAATATAAAATATGATTGACTAATTTCGTAAATCAGAAAAACACAGAATGTACAAAAATATATGTTCACTCTACTATATATGAGATTAGCACTAATACTAAAAAAAAAATGCAAATTAACATAATACAATAATTAGAGTTATGTATTATCATGAATCAAACACATTAACGATTTCTGGAAATTGGCAAAATCATTACTGAATAAATTTTAAACAATCTGCATACATCATCGTGTGTTTGAAATAAAGTATTGTATACAATTTTAATAGAAAGTATTCTAATTCACACTTCGTTGATATCTGCAATCAATCTCTTTACAATTGTAATAATTTTAAATATTTTATTGTCTCTTCATTATCAACATTACTTATTATTGTCTCGATCTATATAACACAGGTTGATAACTTAATTATATTTTATAAATTATAATTATTTAACCAAAATACCCGACCAGTAAACTTATTGAAATGACATTAAAGTGTGTTTTTGCAAAATTTATTGAAAAAAGTCACAGTTAACACATCAATAAATTATAAATAATTACTATGCAAAAACCTAAAATAAAAATGCACATATATAAATAATACAAAAGGCCTCTCTTTGTGAAGTATGTTACACATGATCATACAGGTTGCTGTTTAAAAAATATGTAATCAATCAAAGTTGCAGTTGGTTAAACACTTCTAAGCATTAATAAGTCCCTGATCTATTTCATGCTTTTTATCCACGCATTTACACAAAATTGGAATTTTCTCACTATAGAAATTAAATTGTAAGAATTCATCATTAAAATACATGCAATTTGAATAATTCACCATAAGACCATTGGCAATAAATGGTGTGGGCAACGAAAGAGAAAACAAAATGAATAGAGATAAGAAGCAGCAATGTATATTGAACCTCATGAGGTCATATGACGGCGAATGCTCAAAGCTGGCAGAAAGTTGTAAAGAGTAACATTCTAAGTGTTTATATTGATAGCAAATTGATTGTTTCCTTATTGTATTACAGCAGGATAATTCTGTACATATTTATGAATCATGATGAAAGATAGAGGCGGATAAAACGTATTTGAGTATAGTATAAAGTTTTTGCATGATATTAGTGTTTGGCTAGCTTCTAAAAGTATAACGATTGCACGTATCAATCATTGCGGCTTATTATGCAGACACATTATTAAACAATATATAAATAAACATGTATAAAAATAATAATGTTAACATAGTTAACCACAAACGATAAACTAAAGTGAGTTGGACACATCAATTACATTTTAACAGAGCAAATACTATATGCTAAAAATACTCAGGAAGCTTAATCTAGTATTTGATGTTGACAATTTATAAAGGATGTATTAGATCTCTTATTGAATATGTCATTTCAGCATGGAATGTTGGCTTAACACGTAAACATATAGCTCTGTTAGAGGACATACAGAAGAGGGCATTTAGAATAATGCTTGAAAACTCTTGCAAAAATTATAATAGTACTCATACTAAATAGTTATTCAGTAACTTAGATATTCTCGGGTGTAGAAGGAAAACAAATATGTTTAGAATTTGCTCACCAACTATGTTAATTCTCCAAATTTGGGTTACCTGGATACCTGCTAAAATAGACCACCAATAAAGTTTGAGAAAAAAAAACTAATAAACAAGCAAAGCCCAATTCCATACCTCATCAATATCTTAAACCAGCAAAATACTATTATATAATATATAATTTATATATATATTCTATATATCTATTTTATAATATATTACATATCTGAACCTTAATAATATAAATTTAACTTCAAGCTCAGAAACTTTCATAATATTAATTAGTTCATCCTAAATCATATTTATAATTATTATATTAATATAACTGTTGTATGACTACCCTAAAATTGTATATTTACTGTATATGTATTGGTGTTATGTTAACTTTGTGCAATGTATAGATCCAGGTCAAGCAATTATTTTACACTCGTAGATTCCTTTTCTTTAACTTTACATGCACAGGTATACTTTTTAATACCTGCACCTGTATATGTACCATTTGGTGTTTTTAGGTTCAAAATTGATTTTTCTTCTGTCTACATGTATTTTATCATCTTAACAAGCTGATGATGTCTATTTATACTAAGCAAAGATACTTCGGTAAAATTTAATATATCTTATTTTTTTACATTGAATAAAATCTTTATGGAAACATTTTTGCTCATTTGTTTTATTGATGTTATTCCTATGAATTTTACATTTTATAAAAAGATTTAATGTAAAGTATAATGTACATACCATGCCTCGGTAACTTGATAATATTTGCGTATGTATTTTAGAATCAAGAAATACACATATACATAGTATACATATACATACACACATATATATATATATATATATATATATATATAAATACATACATACATACATTATATAT